AACCATCGTGTTAGATTTGTTACTTCCTGTGGGGTTGGTATTTTAGAAAGATTGTTCCATGTGTCATTGTCAAAGCCCCACACTTCTCATAAGAACCAAAACTAAGTGAGGGCTGCAAAATCATTAGTGGCAACATCAGATACTCTATATATCATTTCTCTAACTTTTTGAGGTTCGAAGGAAGAAATGCCTTCCTGTGTGCTGTTTCCACATCCTGCCTACATCATTTGTTTTCTTGATTATCCTCCCTTTCACACACATCTTCCATCACTCTCTTTATCCCTTAAGGCATTGGTGGCTATGTCATCTTTCAACATTTCTGCTTACTACTCTAGCTCTTCCTAGTTCCATTCCATGTCCCTACTTTCAGGTATGAGTCCTCACACATTCTAAGTGCTCCCTTCTCACTGTGTCTCTCCTTGAACCTTGGAGTCCCACTTAAGCAGTTATCACCCTTTTTCCCCATGTAGAGTCCCCACCTAATGTTTGCCTTACCTGTCATCTCAGCCACCTTTAAGCCTACTTTTCATTTGCATGTTCTTTTGTCCATCATCCTTTCTGACTTGTCCTTGCACATTGGCTTGAGTGTCAGACATCACCGCTATGATCTTTCCTACATCTCAGTTTCCCCAACTGTCATTTTGGCGCTTCCTCTCTGCCTTTAAGTGAGGAGCCCGTTGGGGCTGTTTTCCCCTCTGTGCAATATTTCCACTTCACCATTATCTCATACCTTAGTCCTCTTTCTGAGCCCCCCTGACTTGTAAGCCTCCCTGTTTGTTACAATGCCACCTCCACCTCCACCCTGGCCACATCAGCAGTGACTCCCACGGTTATCCATTTTAAGCCCTTCTCTTTTTTGTGTTTGAGACTGAACTTGATCCCATTGATCACCCCATTCTTGAAATACACTCCTTTACCTTGCTTCTGTAACATCACCTTCCTGATTTTATCTCCCTTCTCTTTTATTTCTCCTTGTTGACTCATCCACCTCTAGCCACCCACTGAGTTTTGAAATTTCTAAAAACTTTTCCCAGCCCCTTTCTCTCTGTGGTCTCTCCCAGGGCCTATCTGCCCTTAGCTTCAGTTACTTTCTTTTTTGAACACGTCAGAATTTATTTCTTTGGCCCTGACTTTTTGGAATTTTAGACCTGAATTCTTGATCGTCTCTTGCCATTCCCATTTGTGTGTTTCAAAGATACCACAGTCTCCAAATTCTTGGATTCATAAAATGGCTCCCACTTTTCCCTGGTTCTGACCCAGTTAGTGTTTCCTCAGTGCTACATGTCAGTGTTTACTTACTGCAGATAGAAATCTCTGACTCAGCATGGTTCAACTCCCAGGTACAGTCAAAAAGAGTTGCCAATTTTACCTCATAAATGCCTTTTAAGTCTGTCCCCTTCTAATGGTCTAATCTACCATTTCCTTTCTAGACCATACCATCACCTCTACTTACCTTACTAGCTGGGTCTCCTTTTATCTATATTTTCTCTTCAGTCCATTCTCCACACTGAAGCCAGAGATACAGCTCAGATTAGATGATGCACTTTACTCCCTCACCTCCCAAGCACATACACCCTTAAAGTGTTTTGTGACTTTCTTTGGCCCATCCAAGAGGCCTTACCTGGTGTGGGACATGCCTAATTTACTACCTTTTCTCTTACACAACACTTAGCTCTCTTTATTTCCCGTTTCTCTTCTTTTCCCCACCTGCCACAGGTGTACTTTGGCCAGCAAGTGAGTGCTTATCCCTCACATCTCACCTCAAATAGCATTTCCTCAGGGAACCTTTTATTAGAACACCTATCTTGATCATAATGTTTCTTTTTCAAAAGAATCCTTCATGGTTTTTTGCTCCCTTAGACCATCTTTAGGCTCGATAATTTGCTGGAAGGATTCACAAGACTCAGGAAAGAAGAGAAGAGGAGAGGGGAGGGGAGGGAAGGGGAGAGGAGAAGAGGTTACAGTTTATTACAAGGACACAGATCAAGCTCACCAAAGGGAAAAGCCATGTAGGCTTTTCCATGAGAAAAAAAGCAAAGTCCATGAGAAACCAAGCACAAGCTTCCAGGTGTCTCCTCCCAATGCAGTTACACAGGAACTCAATTCTTTCAGCAAAGATGTGTGACAACATGTTCAAACATAACCAGTGAGGAAAGCTCACCCCAGCTTCCATGTCCATGGATTTTATTTATTTATTTATTTATTTTATCTTTCTAGATGTTTTTATTTCAAGAAGGAATGAAGTCCAGGAATTTGGAGACAGTCTCTGGCTTCTAGAAGGATTTTATTTATTTATTTATTTATTTATTTATTTATTTATTTATTTATTTATTTTTTATTGAGGCATGCAATACCTACGTGGCTGACTATGGACACTGTCTCCAGCATCCAGAGAAGGCCCAGTGTGGCCCAGGCCCTCAGGCATACAAAAACCACCATTGACCATGAGTCACATGTTAGCATAAATTACCTGGTCAAACAGATACAGACTCAGGTATAAAAATCACTCCTCCTAGGCAAGATGTTCCAGGGAATCAGAAGTGGTCTTCCTGGGGCTGGTCAAGTGCAAGTCTTTTTTGGAATGTGTAGCATTTGAGAACCTGGGGCCTGTTCAGTTAACACTTTCCCACACAGTCCACCCTCCTGGACCTTAACCTAAGCTCTGTTACGTGAAAACAGCCATATTTGCCTGAGCATCTACATATAATAAAGTATTTCTGTAATAGGTACACTATAGTATCATTGGGAATATGCCCAACATTGAAGGAGGCAGTATGGGGTATGGCTAGATTTAAATAAACAATCAAAACATCCTAGAAAAGCCATTACATCCATATCTATATATTTTTTTAATTTTTTTTTAGGCAAGGCAACCCTTGGTAGACCTCACAGATTGCAAAGAGCTTGTCATCTTACAATCAATTTTTCTTTTTACTTTTTATGCCTACAGCACCTAGTCTTCCTAGGTGGTCTCCCATCCAAGTACTAATCAGGCCCGACCCTGCTTAGCTTCCGAGATCAGACGAGATCAGACTTATTCAGGGTAGCATGGCCATAGATACATATCCATATTTTTGTACTAATCTGATAACTCATTCCCTTGATCAACTGTTATTTGTACGTTGTGATAAACCACCTCCCCTGTCTCTACATTGGTTTAAGCAACCTTCCTCACACATCTGGAAAACAGTGAGAACTTCCTAACAGATCTCCTTCCTCCTCTCTTGTCCCTCCTATACTCTAATTTCCACACAACACTCAGATTGACCCTTTAACACAAAAAGTAAATCACATCAATGATGTGATCCCTATTTCACAGTACTAACTATATATATTTTTTTCTGTATTCTGGCTCTGGCATTTGAGGCCTCCCTGACTAGAGAGAGACTGCCCCTCCCAGGGCTTGTCAGTTCTTAGAGACAGCAAATAACTTGCCCAGGACCTGCCCTTCATCTGAAAATTAACCACCTCTGTTTGACTCTTAAACTCCAGGAAACAATATTCCTCTTCCCTAAAACTCCAAGACCATGTACCAGGCAAGCAACACCTCTGAAGCCCCAAAGCCCTACAGTATTTTCAAACCAGCCAGTCCTAAGCTGTTTATCTGGCCTGTTTTCTCTTTTCTGCAGAAAACACAGTAAAGGTGCTGGGTCATTCTTTCTTCTCTGCTTCTGCCTCCTGACCCACCCTGGTGCTTACCCTACATGGCTCTGGGTTGTGTGCCCTGACTACTGTTTGCTAGAGATCTGAGCATAAACTTCTTCCTTCATGACAATCACTTTCAAGTCTGCATGTCTTACCTTGTTAAACAAACCACAGGTTTGGAACACATTATATATTACATATTACATATTACAGTTTCCTTACAATGGACAAGAAGACTCTATACAATTTGTCTCCATTTATCTCTCCAATTTCTCCAACCATTCTATCTCTGCAGACGCAGCCCTAGCCACACTAGCTTTATTGCTTTTCCTCAGATATCCCAGCACTCTCCCAACCCAGGAATATCTTTCTCAAAGACCTAGGAGCTCTCTCTTTGAAATGAAGACATCAAATGAAATAGCATGCCTATCTCCTAGTTTCTATGGGAGGATAAGAGCCTAACTTCAATGGACACCTTGCTCCAAGCTGCAGAACTATCTTTTTGTGTAAAGAAATAAGTTTGTTTTCTCTTCTAGAAAACCAAAGTAATGGCAAATAGTCTCTCCAATTACCAGGTGAAATTGGGAATGAGCTATGTAACGAATGAATGGTGCCATCTTGTTTTCACACTTGAGCATTAATTACTACTTATTTTGAAAACCTATGTAGTAGGTTGTGTCTGCTCGGCTCTACAAAAGGGTGAGGTTTATTTTTATCTTTGCAATCTGTTAGCAGGTGTTTGTGATGCGCATCACATTCTGGTTGAACGTCAATAATAAACTTTTGTCTACTATCTTTGTGGAGAGGTTTTCTGGGTTGGGAGATTTTTTTCTTTTTTAATTATATTTCCCCAACAATTTATCCTGTTGCCTCTCTAAAGGAATTAAATTTCAAATGTTTTAGAAACTTCTGTATATGCCAAATAAATAGGTGTGTTGGGGGGAGAGCACGAGCACAGGATATAGGGGACCGAGGCACAAATTTCAGGGAAGCCCTCCCGAATGTGCGTGATAGAGGACACTGTGGAATGGCCTGAACTAGAAACGCCGTCCAAGCAGGGGACATTTGGGGGCGCACGCATTTTTGCAGCTTTCCAGCTACACAAAGAGCCCCATAAGCTTCCTATGATTGGTTTATATTCATTCATACGTGCGTCCCGTCATTTAGTTCCTGAATGCGTGCAATCACTGATATGTTTATGTATGTATTCATTCACTCAGCCCCACTTCCACCATAGCCTCTGCGAACCTTTTCGGGATTTCCCTTCCAGCGTCCAGTCGGGACCCGCAGTAGCCGCAAGCCACGCCTCCTTCCGGGTTCACGCGCTGCTGTTTCATTGGCCCAACGTCCTTGGTCCCGCCCTCATCTCCGGAGCGGAAGCTCCCATTTCTGTCTCTCCTATTGGACACGCTGCCTAAGCCTCAGAAATTAAAACCAATGGGAATCGCTCAGTAACTACACCCTCAGCCAATGGGCCCAGGGAGCGTAATATGAAAGGCCTGGCCAGCGGCCCTCGGAATTTCCTCCAACTCAGCGTGTCCTGGTCTGGTAAGTTACTCAGGACCCCCCCAGACGGTGCCTGAGGCCGCCGCGGAAGCAGATCGAGACTGGAAGAACCTCAGCCTGAGTGTTACCTCCTGCCACCGCTCTTTAGGATTACCCGGACCTGCACACCCAGTTCCACAGGGCGCAGGAAGGCGACTTTTCGTCACCATCTCTTCTCATGAGTCACTCACAAGCTATGGTGAAGTCCGACAGTGCTCAGCCCACGGGTGAGAGGGACAAGAACCAGGACCAGAGAAAGAGGGTTGAGAAAAAAGGCCTGGTGCCATTTGTGGGGAATGGGAGAGGACACAGAAGAAAATGTTGAAAGCTCTTTTTTTTTCAGCAGTTGCAGAAGGCCAAACTCTCCCCGGCGTGCCCACGACGTGAGTGCCTTTGGCGTTGTATCTGGGAGAGGAAGGGAAGTGGGATGGAGAGGTGAAGAGCAAGCTGTGCGTGTGAAGTGTTGGCTCATGGGACTGAGAGCTGCTGACCAGACACCCTGGCCGGGCCCTTGAGAAGAGAAAGGAGCAGAGGGAGAGGAAAGTGGAAGAGGAAGGCGAGCGTTCGGGGTCCCTGACTCTCTCCCTCCACCTCCCTTCCAAACTGAGGCTTTTTTTTCTTCCCCTGTCAGGCGGCAACTCACAATTGATGACTTTGAAATCGGGCGTCCTCTGGGCAAGGGAAAATTTGGGAATGTGTACCTGGCTCGGCTCAAGGAAAGCCATTTCATTGTGGCCTTGAAAGTCCTCTTCAAGTCCCAGATAGAGAAGGAAGGAATGGAACATCAGCTACGCAGAGAAATTGAAATCCAGTCGCATCTACAGTAAGGACAGTCTCTGCATGAGAGTCCCACACTGGTTCTCTACTCTTGTTCTTCTGTAGCCTCATCCATCTGTGACATCTAAACCCAGCATTTCCCCCAATACAACTCCCAAATACGCCTTTTATTTCCACCTTAAAGATTTTTCTCCAGTTTTTTACAGTTAGACCATGTAAAGCTCCTTGTGTCACACACCAAATGCCTGTTCCCTGTTCTCCCCTCAGGCACTCCCAGATCAGGCTATTATTAGTCTGGTCCCAGCGCAATTTGCTTTTTGTGTGACCAGTCACAGCATCATGATTTGGGCCTCAGGGAGGAGTCTGACCTTTCCTCCATCTCTCCTCCAGACATCCCAATATCCTTCGCCTGTACAACTACTTCCATGATGCGCGCCGTGTGTACCTGATTCTAGAATATGCTCCAAGGGGTGAGCTTTACCGGGAGCTGCAAAAGAGCCAGACATTAGATGAGCAGCGTACAGCCACGGTGAGGTGGGGTGGGAGATTGGGGCTCTGGGGTCCATGAGTTTACCATGAGCTAATGGGGGGAGGTCACTACGTGTGGCTCTCATGAATGTCCAGATTGCTTTTTTTTAAATCCAAATTTTATAAATTTTATATAATGACATATATATCTCTTAAAATTTCACATTCGGATATGCTAATTATCCCCAGAATATTAATAAGCAGTGTGTATAAGTTTGAATTCTTTGGTTGTAAGCAACAGAATCTAACTCCACTGCCTTATGCAGAGAAACATATTGAAAGGCTATGAGGGAGTCTGCTGAATAAATGAGTGGAACTTGTCTTAGATAGAGGAAATGAGATTTCTAGAAGGCTCCACGTGATCCAGAGCAGTGATCATCGCAGCAGAATGGTTGAGTCAGCTCGCTGCCAGAATGAATGATCTTTTGGCTTTCCTCCTGTTTTTGTATCATTTCCTCGGGCCTCAAGTCCTGTGGAAGATCATCTGATTGGCTCGGTATAGTCCTATGTCTGGCTACAGCTAGGGCATCCTTTATGTCTCCTTTAGCATCCATCCTACGAGACCACATAAAATGGGGAAGAGAAAATCCTCCCCCACCAAAAATTATGGTGCTGTTAAGGAGGTAATGGAGTTGGTTACCAGGAAATAAAAGATTCCACTACAGTTGTACAATGCATGATGAGTATTTTTACCTCGGTAGTCTTGACAGTTTTGATCTCAGACTTTTTTTCTCGCCTCACAGATAATGGAAGAGTTGGCAGATGCTCTGACCTACTGCCATGAGAATAAGGTGATTCACAGGGATATTAAGCCAGAAAACCTGCTGCTGGGATTCAGGGGCGAGGTGAAGATTGCAGACTTTGGCTGGTCTGTGCATACCCCCTCTCTGAGGTAGGTCAGGTGGTGGTGGGGTGGGCCTGGGTGCTGGTTAGGAATGAACCAATTTAATACATTCCACGTGTAAGATCCAGCTACAAACCTAGGTTTCTATTTAAATACAGTAATGCACTGCATAATAATGTTTTGGTCAAAGATGGACCGCATATACGATGGTAGTCCCATAAGATTATCATGGAGCTGAAAAATTCGTATCTCTTAGCGACACAACCAACATGATGTTGTAATGCAATGCATTACTCGTGTCTGTGGTGATGATGGTATAAACAAACCTACTGTGCTGTCAGTCCTATGAAAGTATGGCACATACTTTATGTACAGTACATAATACTTGATAATGCCAATAAATTACTATGTTACTGGTTTATGTATTTACTATACCATACTGATGCAATTCTGGAAGGATTACATCTGACTACATCAAGAACCTTGCTTGGGCTTGGGGTGATGTCATCAAGGAAAGTATGAATGGTAAGACACTCAGCAGGTTCATCCAGGACTTTAAAGAATTCGCCAAGGATGATGAGGTTGCAAAAATCAACAAGGCTGTGGTTGAGATGGCAAACAACTTTACCCTGGGCGTGGATGAGGATGACAATGAGGAACTCCTGGAGGTGATTCCTGAGGAACTGACCAATGAGGAGTTGATGGAACTAGAGCAGGAGCGTATAGCTGAAGAAGAGGCAAGAGCAAAGGACGCTGCAGAAGATAAAGAACCCTGAAGAAAATTCACAAAAAGGGTTTAGCAGAAGCTTTTGCAGACTTCAACAAGCTCCTTAAAAAATTTGAAAACATGGACTCTAACACAGAAGATTCATTAGTAGAGAGGAATGTTCATGGTACATTATCTGCTTATAAGCAAATTTATGATGAAAAAAAGAAAACCAAGTAAACCACCATGGACATATTTCTGAATTATTTCAGCAGAATTATGCAAGTGAAGATGCAATCCTTTATCTTCTTTCCTTTTTAAAATAGCAAAGGAAAAACAGAAGATTGGCTGACTGGTAAGTATCCCCACTAAGTGTACAGTATTTATAAAGCTTATAGTAGTATCCAGTCATATCCTAGGCTTTCACACTCACTCTGCATTTCACTCACGCACTGACTTACCCAGTGACTTCCAGTCCTGCAAGCTCAATGGTAAGTGCCCTATACAGGTGTCAAGTTGTTTTTATCTTTCATCCTGTATCTTTACTGTATATGTTTTACGTTTAGATACACAAATACCATTGTATAAGTATTGCCTACAGTATTTAGTACAGTAAGATACTGTACAGGTTTTGTAGCCTAGGAGCAATAGGTTATACCAGGCAGCCTATGTGTGTAGTAGGCTATACCTTCTATGTTTGTGTAAGTGCACTCTTATGTTCACACAATGACAAAATCGCCTGATCATGCATTTCTGAGATGCATCTCTCCCCATCGCCTGATCATGCATTTCTGAGATGCATCTCTCCCCATCGTCAGGTGCTGCATAACTGGACTGCCTTTTTCAAATGCATGTGTTTAATATGTATTCGGAGACTGAAAGAATGTGGTTCAACCATATCTTTTATTTTTTGATCTCCGATAACATTACTTTACCAATAAGTTTCCATGTAAATAAAGAACTATTGCTCCATAATTCCAGGAAGTTTATTGTATGAATAAATCATAATTCTTTTACGTGATCTTTTTTTGATGCACCATCAGTTTGTTCTAAATCTTTGATGCCCAGATTATTCTTGTGAAAACACCCTGGATCATGGGCTAAATAATGGTATGACTAATTCCAAAGTATGAAAATGGTGGGTCCCAGTACTTGCCTTCTCTGAACTTTGATCCGTATTAAAACTTGGTGTTTCCACTCTAGGGCAGGGACTTCTCAGGATTTCCTAGGGTCTCCCGTCTCACTAGAAGCTGGGGAAGAGGGATTTCCTTTGTTCTGGGCCTCTGCACAGTGCTCACTTCTCTCTCTGCCTTCTTCCAGAAGAAATACAATGTGCGGGACTCTGGACTACTTGCCCCCAGAAATGATTGAGGGGAGAACATACAATGAGAAGGTGGATCTGTGGTGCATTGGGGTGCTCTGCTATGAGCTGCTGGTGGGAAGTCCACCCTTTGAGAGCACTTCCCACTCTGAGACCTGCAGACGCATCCTCAAGGTGAGATGGCCACATTCTGGGCATTCATGGAGGAGCCAGTCATTGGTGGCTGGTAGGCTCTGCAGAGTATAGGACACACATGAAATTTGTTTACTAAGATCCAGAGCAGTGCCTTGATCCTTCTCCAAGAACAGAGAGAACATGGATCAAAGAAATTAACCACAGTTCTCGTTTCTTTTCTGGCCTCATCAGGTTGATGTAAGATTTCCTCCATCATTCCCTTTGGGGGCCCAGAACTTGATCAGCAAACTCCTCAGATACCAGCCCTTGGAGCGGCTGCCTTTGGCCCAGATCCTGCAGCATCCCTGGGTTCAGGCCCACTCTCGGAGAGTGCTGCCTCCATCTGCTCACATGGCTTCCTGAACCCTGTCCACCCCTGTTCCTTTGTGTTTGTTCAGGGAGCTCTCCTGGCTTTGCTATCTCATCTGCCTTTTGTTTCTTCTCTTTTAAAATATAAGATGCTAATTAATAAAAGCCGAATCATTTTGTACCAGGTCTTTATAGTTGTGAAGTTGGTATGTAACTGGGTAGAATCATTATTTCTGTAGAACTCTTTTTCCATGAGAGGGGCCCCAAATGATGCCCCTCCTAGCCCCCAAGGATGGTGACTTAACCACTCTTCCTTGAAAACTAGTGACTACTTTCTACAGATAAGCACCCCAGTGGTGAATGATGTGCCACCTATCACATTGACTCCTACACTCATCTTACTATTTCCTGTGTTTTCAGGAGTACGCCATTTGTAAAACAGGACTTTGATAAACCCAGAGGCTTCACTTTTTTTATACTGACATCCAACATTTGACTGTCTTCAAGGTAAAACGTCTCACTGTACATCAGTGCCATCCAATTCTCAAATAATGTCACATCTGCATGGTGTGTAACCTTCTGATTGTATCAGAAGAAATCATCCCTAATAATAAATGTAACATCACCTTTTCTGAAATCACACCTTCTGCTTGCAGCAATTTAGGGAATGTTCTTCCAGCCTTCCCTTGTATCCCTCTGGCAGTTGCTCCTTTCATCCTCGATAAGCTGACTGTACTAGAGTAAACATCTAGACTCAGCTAAGAGCTTAAATATGTATTCTGTTCATTGTAGGCATTGAAACTGCAGTGGCTCCTGACTAAAAATGGAGTTTGCCTTGGTAATGTTACTCCTGCCACTGTATGCTACATTCTCCTCAATGTGAAATGTTCAGCAGATGCAGGATGATATCCCTATGATATGCAGACCCACTCATTAAATATAAATAAGTCAGCCTTTCTACTCAGATGCACAGCCCTTGTACTGCAAATCTGTCATTTAAGTGTCCCAAGACATTGGCTCATGGGTTTTCAGCTGCATCTTCTGTGCTTTCTAGCTTCATCTTCTTATCAGTTTTCTTGACTTAATATTTCAATTAAACATTTGGCAATTCCTAATAAATTAACTGGTTCATAGGAACCCTGCAATATTACTCATTTCTAGTGCTGGATAAACTCACATCAGCAGGGACATTTTGGACAGTAGATAAGGATAGAAAAATCAACTAAGGCCTCAACATTGAATACCAGATGATATAAGTTTTAATAAAGAAAAATCTGACATGCTTTACAGTAGGATTTCAAAGATCTCCAATAACTATATATAGCTTTTCTCATCCACATTGATTTCCGACATTCTACCTCTCATGACACAATATACAAATCTTAGCTTTAATATCTGTTTTACATCCTAACCCCAAACCATTTCATAACTATAAGGGTCAACCACATGTGAAAAGAAGAATTATGTTTTTCTTCCAATATAGGTAAGTTACGATCGCCAATGATGATTAGCATTATTCCTTGTGTGCTAATTAAGCCACGTTTCTCTATAATCTTTTATAAACAGCATCTTCTAGGAAATTAACTCCACCTCAATCCATGACTTGACATCCTGCCTCTATGCTTTCTTCCACTTTAAAAATTAAATCTCTTGATTTTTTGAAGTTTCCATTTTCATAACTGCATGTATTCTCTACACATTAGAAGCTGGATTTTATTACCTGACCTTCACAATCATGAGAAGAAAACAAAAGAAGTCAGAGATTGATTTATAAGACTTTGGGCAATATAATTCTAGAAGGAACGTTAGAATTCCTAACATGGCTGTTGGTTTCTTGTCTGCCACTACATAATGTTGGGTTGGTTCATAATTCACCCCTGTCTTTTCCTTTCTCCACCTATTCTCATTTTTTTGGTGGTATCGTGATTTGAAATAACAGAATACTCTGACAACTCCCAAATTTACATATCCACGCACAATCCCTCTCCCAATGTTCAGACGTAGGTTGAAGTGCCTATGTGACACGCTTTGTGGTCTTACCGATTATTTCAAACTGACCATGCTGGAAAGTGGAGTCTTCCAAATCACCCCTACATGCAGCCTCCCCATCTCAGGGATGGCAAACCACTCATCCGGTGATCTGGGATTAAGAGTATTACCCAGAAGTCCCGGCATCACGTGGAGGTGACTTTGGGCCAAAGAAGGCCCAAGAGACTTGTCCTTGTGGCACACTACGTCCGAGGGGAACTTCCGGTGTCCTACTTTTGGTGGTTAATTTGACTGCTCATTTATCCGCATCTCCTACAAGAGGATCTAAAAAAGAGATGAGGCGCACGGAGCAGTCAGGAGGCAAGCAGAGGGCCGGATGTCGCACCTTTGCACTTGCCCCGACCAAGGGTGAAAGTCTCCATCTCTTGAGTCTCACTTTCCTTGGGCGGAGAACCAAGGGCCTCGCCTCCTCTCCTTGGTTTCCCTGTGTCGTATGAAGAGACGTGACGAGGCGGGTGTGACCCGCCGCTCTGGGCCTGGTAAAGCTTTTACACTGGGGACAACCGGCTATGGAACGCGATCTCCGGTGGCTTCGTTGTAGAGAAAAAACTACATTACCCAGAAGGCTCTGCATGGCGAGTGTGCAGCGGGCGCTGTGCCAAAGACGGCTCAGGACAGGGGTATTTCCTGTGGCCCGCTGAGGAAGCGGGATTTCCGGCGGCTTGGTGTATACGTCATTCTCGTGCGACGGTTCTGTCCACGCCAGCTGTCGGGAGGGCATCGCTGTTCTGTGGCCGCTTCCAGTGCGGCTCTTCGACAATGAGCAAGAAGATTAAGATGCACTTCCGCCCCTTTGAACGAGCTGCAAGCCTCTCGGTCAGCGGAGAAGGTGACAGTCAGCCGAGGTCACCCCGAGGGCGAGGTAGGGGCGGCGGTCGGCTGAGCGCGCCTCTGTCACCGCCTCTTCGGGCCTGGCTCTCTCCACAGGGTCCCGTGATGGCGGCGGCGTGGACGGACCCAGCGCAGGTGAGTGGCGGTTGTTTTGGTCATTGCAGGTTCTCTGCTGGTTCGGAGAGGTCTCCTGGGCAGGGTGGAGCCAAGACAGCCATTGGATTCTCCTTTGTCCTTGTCGTTTATTTACAAGTGGAGTTGGCTTGTCACTTTATCTCCAGTCTTAGGACATGAGAGACTATACAAACGGACAGTAGACGGACCAGATAGAAATTTGAACTTTGACCCACAACCTGCTGCATCCTGCCCAGTAAACCAGCCCCTTACTTACAATAAGCAATCCAGGAAGCTAGCCTGCTCTAAGTCAACTAACCGGAAGCCAGATTAAATTTATAGTGACAGTCCAGGAAGCTAAACAGTTACTTCTGTAACTATCGGTCCAAAATGGCCGAGACTTGATTAATTACTAACTCTCCAATTTTTTCCCCACTTCCGACTTAAGACTAACCGGAGAAAACCATATGTGCACCCCTAACCAATCATATAGGATGTTATGTGACTGCACATCAGAGAGTTTTCATTTGATACTCAGTGTTGAGACCCTAGTTGAATTTTCTGTCCTTACCTACTTTCCAAAATGTGCCAGGTGATGCGAGTTCATCCAGCACCAGAAATGAGTAATATTGCAGGGTTCCTATGTAAGAACCAGTTAATTTATTAGGAATTTCCAGGTGTTTAATTGAAATATTAAGTAGAGAAAATTGACAGGCTGAAGCTAGAAAGCAGAGATGTGAGCACTGAAGGTGCAAGTGAAAAAGCATGAGCCAATGTCTTGTGGCAGTTAAGTGTTAAATCTGCAGTAGTAGGGCTGTGCATCTGAGAGTGAGGTGGCTGTATCATGTATATTTAATTAGTGGGTCTGGTCATCACAAAGATATGGTCCTGAATCTGCTGGACGATTCACATTGAGAATGTGTAGAATACGGTGGTGGGAGTAACATTACCAAGGCAAACTCCATATGCAGTGTTTTTGTCAGACACTGGTGAAAACGATGGCTTATTGAACTGGGGACTTTTAGTCGCTTTAAGTTATGATGTGAAGTCCTCGGCATGGGGCAGGCACATAGCAGGACCGATGAGACTCAGGTGCTGCTGTTGTTACCATAGTGGTATCATTGCTTTCTCATCTTCTGACATTTTAGAGTCCTCACTGTCTGCATTTCAAAGTCTTTGTGTCATTTCTACTGTCATGTGTCATTTTCCAGTGGCTTCCACATAGGAGGCTTCTCTTTTACACTGTTTTATTATGTCCAGAGCATTGTCCACCTCCCCCTTGAGCCCAGCACATAGTTTGTCCCTCAGGAGGTGTTGGATGATTGGGGCCTTAATGTCCGCACCTGTACCATGATGCAGAGTGAGCTCTGATTCCATGCAACAGCCCCAAGGCCAACGCTACCACCTCTCTTTGACTTTCCAGATGTCTGTGACCTTCGATGATGTGGCTGTGACTTTTACCCAGGAGGAGTGGGGGCAGCTGGACTTGTCCCAGAGGACCCTGTACCAGGAAGTGATGCTAGAAAACTGTGGGCACCTAGTATCTCTGGGTAAGTCCTCCCCACTCTGCCATGGTAGGCTCCTAGAAAGTGTGGAAGGAAATGGGGGTGTTCCACAGACCCCAAAGGCAGGATGTCTGGGGAATCCCTTGAGGGACTGACTGACCCAGGAACTGGAAACCACACGATTATGCCCCGGTTCCCGGGTCTCTTGTCCTGGCTTCGTTCTCTGGGTCTGCTCAGGTTTCTTTATTCAGAATGGCTTTTTCTCTTCAGCGAGTTTGCGATAGGACTGGGCACCTCAGTCCCTGCTGTCTGTGGCTCCCAGACTCCCTGTCTCTCCTTCTTTGCATGTTTATGTTGTTTCTCTTTCTTTCTTTGCTACTGAGCTCTCTGGGGCATCCTTGAGGCAGGAATGGCTATCTGAGCCCATTATCCCTGGACCTGTCACCCCAGTGTCCAACACAGACTGGCCTCTGTCTGAGCTCCCTACTTTGGATTCCAGAGGGGGACCTGACTGAGTGAATCTGGTGGGCTCATATGTCCCCTCCAGGCCAGTCGTCAGGCCATGTGTGATGGGATGCTCTTCCAGTGAGTATGAGGCAGGCCCCTGGAAGGTCTTCGTCCTGGTGGCCCCAGGTGTTGTTCTGTTGTTCTGAACCACATGGCCTCTTTATCTCACATGCTCTCT